TACAAGTATAGACTGGATCGCCTAAATTGGAACAAAACTTTCATGTTTGTTTTGAAAGATGTTGCTACTCGCAAGTAGGCTTAAAGATGAGATTTTTCCACCCTCAGTGGGCGCTAAGAAAAAATGGTTTTGCCACTATCTAGTGGCTTAAAACACACATTTGATGAATTGTTCCAATTCAAATAACCCAACCTTCACCCACAGGCATTCAGCAGTTATATCACATAAGAATTAGCCTCATGGTACATGCTATCATTGCAGTCACTCACAGCATGCAAGGATGCTAAGCATAAAACTCACCGAGTACTCCAAGCCAAAACAAAACTGATTAAAATCCATGCATGATCCTAATTATACAGAAATGCTAATGCAACACATGCGAGAATGCAACTATAGCAGGTCGCTATTCTAACATGGTATATTGAAATGCTACAACAACATGTATTCAACTTGGAATTGAAAATACAATGCAGTTAGTATGATGCGCGAGCCCGGTGCATGCAAAACAGAATAATGAATGCAAACATGCTATCAACTATGCTATTGAAACATGCCCTAATCTAACCATCATAAGCAGGTAAATAAAAGGGAAGAAAGACGTGGGTTGAGAACATACATTACACTCACCCACACTATTACAATTATGCCCTCGCACAGAGGGTCCGAATAAATATACAATCCCAAATAAATAAAATCTACAGTCCCGAATAAATACAAAATCCTAAAATTAATTTACAAATTAATCTAGGAAGCCTATAAACTGGCATGCAGCCAGGGACTGCCTTGACTCTGATGAATGATGTATGTTTGGGCTGCCTTGCGCGGAAATCCACTGGGATGCCCCAATTAGCCTTTGTTTGCAATTATTCTTTGGAAGCGCGCCAAGCCCCAGAAAAGACCGCATGATTCGTTGATTGCTGCAACACGAGAGCAGGAAAAGGCATTAGCAAATATATTTTCACAAATGTTGCATGTCTCGATCCTCGTGGCCACCAATCACGCATATCGTAATGCATGATGGCCGACAGGGTCGAATTGTGCAAACTCAATATAGAATGAATACACATGAAACAAAACTAAACCTAACCTCCACATGGATAATCCGGAAGTGTCTGTTGACTGGGAATTGAGACAGCGTCCGTCACTCGGAAGTACGGAACGTACCTCGTTTCCATGCTCGGGCCTAACTCTATCCCAAACACAATGCGATATATACATGACATGGCTGAAATGCAACTTAAGATACAATCCATAACATACAAATGTTATGGAAATGGCATACACGCTACACGAGGTTCAATACGACAACCGAGCATACACAAGCTATGGATGAAATGGCATACGCAATGCAATAATGGGCTTACACCAACATGAGAGGCCTCAGCCACACTCACATAGGAGTTCCATCAGATGAAAACAAGGGACAACTCGAAATGCGTGCACGCGTGCACGCAAACCAGGACCGACCACTCAGGCACCGAAATGCCACTCTAATATGAGACATGGCAAAGACATGGAATATGATATGCAAACATGCAAAAATCAGTAGCAAATGAGGGGCAAAACAGCCCCGAAACAAGGCGAAATGACACCCGATGCATGGATTTTCTCCCGAAATTGCAAAACTAGGTACATGAAATGGCTTACAGCTATACAAAGAATGCATTATTTGATCATGACAGTGAATACATATCAAGGCAGCCCCAAAAACAAGCATGTTTACAGTTCTAAGCGAGGCCAAACAGCAAACACAAATAGGGCAAAACTAGCACGCAAAAATAGCCCTAAATGTGAAGATAAAGAAGCAACTCACAGCTGCTGACCCCAAACAGATTTGGGCCCTTCAACAATGTTGAAGAAGAGCCCAAAATATGATGTTTTACAGTTATGGAAACCACAAAAACCAACACAGGTATGGCTAAGCTCTCATGCAAGAAAAGGGCAAAAGATGGACCAAAGAAGCAAGTAGTGGTTGCTGGCCATAAAACACAAAGGGGCCCTTCAACAATGTTGAATAGGGGCCAAAAATAATGCACTTTACAGTTGATGGCCGGACCCAAAACAGTATGAAAGAATGTTCAAAATGCTATGCAAAATAAGGCAAAAAATAGGGATATAACACAACGTATATAAAAGATGCCTCAAACCATGAAAGACCCTTAATGAAACATGAAGAGGGAGTCAAAATAAGACTGTTTTCCGTTCTGAAAAGAGACCAAAAACAGAAGCATCCGAGGCTAACAAATCATGCAAAAAAAAATGACCAAAAGAGAGATATAATGGCAAGTAGTAAATGGAGGCCACAAACAGTAATGAGCCCTTCAACAATGTTGAAGAATGGCTCAAAATAAGCAACTCTTCAGTTTATGACATGCCTCAAAACAGATTATACATAAGCCTAAAATACTACGCAAGAAATAGGCATACAAGAGGGATAATGAAGCAAGTGAAAGATGGGGACCTCAAATGACAAAAGTCCCTTAATGAAACATGAAATAGAGCTCAAAAAAACACTACTTTCAGTTATGGCCGGGGCTCAGATTTACAAGAAAGAGAGGCTAAGAAATGTTGCAAAAAATGAGCTAGAAAGAGAGAAATGGTAACTCACCCTTGTAGACCAATCTTTAGCAACTTCTTGGACCAAATTTGCTGCCTCCTAGCCTATGAGAAGACCTGCAAGCTGCTGGAAATGGAAGTGGTGGTGTGGTGCTAGGTGATGGTGTGTAAAAATGGTTAAGAACTTAAGGGGTTTTGAGGTTTAGAGTAGAGAGAGAGAGAGAAATTTAATGAGAGAGATCAAAACCAAAATTTTCTAACCCTCCAACACAGCTGGGAGCTGCTGGTTTTATAAGCAAAAGAGTTGGAAAAGAGGGGGAAAAAAGGGGGGGGGGAAACAATTCAAGTTTCCCCCCCAAAAAGGCCAAAAAGTGGGATATAAAGGCAAGTGGTAGCTGCTGGATCCAAATGGCCGAGAGCCCTTCAACAAAGTTGAAGAGGGGCTCAAAACAAGACACTTTGTAGTTTATGACCAAGTCCGAAACAGCTCACAAGTAAGCCTAAAATACCGTGCAAAAATAGGCCTAAAAGAGCGTTAAAGAAGCAAGTGATAGGAGGAGATCTCAAACAGCAAAAGTCCTTAATCAAATATGAAAAGGACCTCAAAATATGACTATCTCAAATTTGGGTCGGAGCCCAAAAATGTAGAATGAAGGTTCGGAAGCCAAAACACGCAGTTTGGGGCCCCGAAAGTGGGCTGTTAGGCACCGGAAGTGGTGTCCGACCACGAAGTTGGTCTCTCGGACCACAGTGTCCCTCAAAAGGGAGAAAATAAGATGTATGCCAAAAACCGGGGCAAACCTCAAACAGCAAAAGGTCCTTAATCAAACATGAAAAGGACCTCAAAATATGACTATCTCAAATTCGAGTCGGAGTCCAAAAATGTAGAATGAAGGTTCGGGAACCAAAACACGCAGTTTAGGGCCCCGAAAGTGGGCTGTTAGGCACCGGAAGTTGTGTCCGACCACAAAGTTGGTCTCTCGGACCGCAGTTTCCCTCAAAAGGGAGTAAATAAGATGTATGCCAAAAACTGGAGCAAACGGAGGTGGTTAAACCGTCCCGGGACTCCAAACGGGCAAAATGGCCTACGACCACAAAACGTAGCCTACGGCCATTGAGAGATGATCTACGAGACCTCTCCCTCCCTTCGCGAAGAGAAAACAGAGCCTGGTTCGCAAACCGAGACAACGTATGAAAGAGTTCGGAAGTCTAGAGGCGAGGCTCGCAGCCGAGACTCTGAAACTTCTGAACGAGCACAATATGCAATATCACCGAGCGCTCAACTGGTGACGTCTGAGTCTCAAGATCGGTCAAAAATGAGGTGTCTACAACGTTTCAGAATCAAGAACAGAGGTATGGTTCTCAAAAGCGAAAGAAATACAGGCTCTAGAACAAAGGCAAAAAAGTATTGAAACAGTACAAGTGTTCAAGACATGAGTGAAATCATGGATTAAGTGCGTCCAGACAAATAGTTCAGCAAAATCAAAGGTTTAAAACAGAGCAATAATGGCAGCAAGTAAACAAAAGCACATAGAAGAAATTTGGAATAAAAGGAGCAGAGGCTTACCAGAACAAATGAAGCCGGAATAAAAAGTCGCCGAGGTAAGGCAACGGTTGCAGACACAACGGAACAGCGAAAGCTTCAAAGGAAGAACGAAGACGGTTGCAGAGCTTAGAGCTAGAGCAATGGCGGATTTGAGAAGGTTTAAGAGAGAGTGAAAGCCAGAAAATCGAAAACAAAAGTAAAGAGACAAAAAGAAAGGGGGAAAAGTTTTGTCAAAAACTTGAAACGGCGGCAAAAGAAGGGCATTTATTACGCCTGGAACAACGTACACGTCAGACGGTGCAGATAGGTGAAATACAGCTTTCAGGCGCGTCACAGACACGAGCCAATAAAGATAAACCACGTAAGAGGAACGGTTGAGAAAAAGTGCATGACAGCTCATGCGCGTAGAGGAGTTCGTTTGAAGTTCTTGTTCTTTGATGAAGGCATGTCAGCCTAAAATGAATGATCTCAGCCAAAAGGTTCTTACGCCGAAGTACTAGAAGAAAATACAAATATAGGTTCCATCACCTCAGAATGCCGAAATAATAGAACCTAGAGGCAGTTGTGGGGATATATTTTCTGATACCAACACGTGGCCAAGGTGACGCCGACGTGTCAGCCGAGGTGCCACGTGTCCTGGTTGTTATGCCGATGTCATCTCGGATAGGCCGAGGTTACCTCCGAAGATATCGGAATCCGAGATAAGCAGATAAGGGACAAGAGTCCTAGAATGGGAGAAGACTTCAGTTTGGGTAAAGATGAGACTCTTAGAGAGTTTATCCTAATTCAACTGGGAGTCCAATATTAACAGTAATCCTAAATCCATTAGAGTTAGGCTTCTATTGGAACTAGGATTATGTTGGCTATAAAAGAGAGGCACCCTCATGGGTCTGAAGTCAGACTTCAAGTGGGACTTGGATTTAGTAAACTATAAAAGAGAGGCACCCCCGTGGGTCTAAGGTACGCAGTTTTATACTCAAGCCTGCGAGTTCAGCACTTGATTATCTTTGAGAGATATACTGACTTGATCGTCGGAGAGCCCTCGGGTGGAGGAGCCACCGCCGAAGCCTTTTCTTTCTGTTGCAGGTTCCTTAAAGCCATCTATTCTACCGGTGCTCTCCAGCTGATTACTAGGCGGGCAGTGCGGTCAGAAAATTACCCATACAATAAAGAATAAATAAAAACAATAAAAAATATCAAATTATTCTCTGTAAGAGGTGAACCCGTAACTTTTCACCTCATAAAATATTAAACAAATATGCTTCAAAACATAAATAATGAAGTATTTCACAAAGAAAGTTGACAAAGAGGGCAATGGACAAATTATAGCGCAAAGGCACAGATCCTCCATATTCCAAAGTCTTTATTCCCTATTCATATTGCCTTCTTAACCACATGATCGTGTCTCAAAATTTTTGTCTTCTAATCATATCGTGCAATTAAAAGGTTATTGATAAAAAAATCGTGTGATTAGAAATTTATTGGGGAAAAAAATTTTGGGTACTAAAAATACCTGTCTAAGGATTAAACTACCGATTAAGAAGGGTATAAAGTTGATTGATTCGTGCTATCGGCATGCACACGAGATCATGGGCCCTCGGAGCAGTCATCCCGGGCTGTTCAGTCATGTCAACCACTCCATCACCATTCATCTTCACCCCGCTCTGATTTACTGCCTTCCACTCGAAGCACTGTATCATTCCCCCCAGCACTGCAGGCAGCTCTTGCATGGCCAAAGAACTGCCAGGACAGCCTCTCCTCCCAGTACCAAAGGGCAGCAGCTGAAAATGCTGGCCCTTAACATCTATTAGGCCCACTGGGCCACCGTTTTCGGGCCTCAAGAACCGCTCGGGCTTGAAATCCAATGGGCTCTCCCAGTACTCGGGATTTCTTGCAATAGACCAAATGTTTACAAATAGGACAGAGTTGGCAGGGATGTTGTATCCATAGACCATGCAGTCCTGTACTGATTTTCTTATGATCATGGGGAGTGGAGGGTGAAGCCGGAGTGTTTCCTTTATGATGGCTTGGATGTATGGAAGATTTGGACCGTCTGATTCGCTTACTAACCGATGTTTCCCAACCACGTTATCGATCTCCTCTTGTGCTTTTTGGAGCACTCTTGGATTGTTGATGAGCTCTGCTAATGCCCATTCAAGTGCAATTGCTGATGTATCTGTAGCAGCCGTGAAGAAATCCTATAAAACAAAATGTAAATTAATATATGCCTTGATTTTTTGATATATTGTACAAAAGTTTGTGATAATTATATAATTACCAAAATCAAACCCTTAATTTGATCTCTGGTGCATTTGATATTCAAATTGTCATCTTCTGAAACATCAAGCAATATGTCGAGAAAATTCTTGGCGTGACGATCTCCAAGACTCGGTGATTTTCTTTCATGTTCCCGGTTTGTGATAATCCTTTCAAGCAATGCATCGTACCTTGAGTGAATGTCCTCAACCCTCTTCCGAATCCCCTGCAAATCCAAGTTCTTGAAAACCCAAATGAAATCCGACACGTTAAATTCTCCGAATATCTGTGTCACCTCGCGGGCAAGAGTTCGAGCTTCCTCAGCCTCACCCGTAACACCTATCATCATCTGAGAGATGATAGTGTTTGTGTACTTTGACAGCTCTTTAGTGAGGTTCACAGCTTCACAATCATTGGCTTTTTTCATGACAAGTTGAAGGAAGGCGTTTAGTTCTCTGGTTCGAACGGGAAGCGAATGATTGATACTACGATTGCCGAGAAGATCAGACATGCACAACTTATTGAGGAATTTCCAATACGGACCGTATGGCGCAAAGGCGAATGCAGAGTCGTAGGTGAGGCGATCGATGGCGATGGAATGCTTGCGAGATGAGAAATTGAGCTCGTGTGTCATGAGGAACTTTTTTGCAAGCTCGGGAGTGGAGACTACGAAGCATGGGACCGAGCCGAGGCGGAGGTGAAACAAGGGGCCGTAGAGGGAGGAGAGGTTGTGGAGGGAGCGGTGGAGGAAGGGGCTGAGGAGGTGGAGGTGGCCGACGATTGGCAAGGCGAATGGGCTTGGTGGGAGGCTGAGACGGCGGCGGACATGGGGTGGTTTTTGGAAGTGGTGGATGGAGAGGAGCAGGAGGAGGGTGGTGGAGATAATAATAAGGAGGAAGGTGGCAAAGGAGATGAAGTCCAACATGTTGCCCTGATTTCAAGAGATATGAAGACAACTACAGATGGCATTGTAGACGTTATGCTGCTATAAATAGAGGACTTTGGTATGGGCGGTGACACCTGTCTCAAAACAATAAATATGTATGTACCCAAATTTTTTTTATCAAATATGTTATATGGGTATAGGATTCACATGAGATGTGTAAGTTCTACATTTATGTGAGCTATTTATTAGAAATATTGGTAAAATATTTGGCATCGTTAACATTTTTCAAAAGGATATTTGGTACATAATATTTTTAATGTTTTTTTTTTTTTAAATTTTATGATTCAAAATATATAAAAATAGAGTTTTTTTTTTTTTTAAATTTAATATTATTATTATGAAACAACTTTAGGCATGGACCTAACTTGTTCAATGTTGGAGCAGTTTAGCGCAATTGTAGAGATAAAAGAATAATTGAAGATATTATTACTTAATTTTAACGGTAAAGTCATTAATTTGACAAAAATAAATGTCAAAAAAAATATTTTTGAATTTTTAAAAATTATTTCTATTTACTAAAGATAAAATTATGTAAATTTGATAAATCTTTTAGACATTTATTTGTTTTACCAAATTAATTTTTACCCACTAAAGATAAATTAATAAATCTTTAGTGGGTAGAAATAATTTTTAAAAATTCAAAATATTTTTTTGATATTTATTTTTGTCAAATTAGTTTATATTTTATCAAATTGATGACTTTGTCCTTGAAATTGAACAATGATATCTTCAATTGTTTTTATTTGAAATAAGATTTAATATTCAAAATTAAATGTGTTACAATTGAAAAGTGAGCGACCAAAGTGACATAAGTCCCAAACTATATGGGTTGTGAGTGTAATTCACCCAATCTTTAGCTATTAAAATAAAATGTAAAAAGCTCCTTACATAGTGATTTGAAAATATGAAATATATTGGATCATACTTAAAAATTAATAAAAATTGATCAAAATTTATTTTAAACCCCAATAAATGTGATTCTAAAAAAATAAAATAAAATAATATGCATATCGGTAAGTTTTCTTCAAATTGTGCGACAAATATAAACAAAAATCATGGTTTCGATTCTCGCAACCATTTACACTACGGTTTTACACCCAACAATTGTTACTGCGTCACCGTAATCGTTACGGTGACTTCAACCATTTGTCAAAACCTTGTTTATAACCTATGTGAGTCGATTACTGACCACACTACCAATTAAGCATTTAGTTGGAGAACACCGGCAGAATATATTAAGCCCGAACGACCAGTCACAAAAAGAAGAGATTCCAGCGGTGGTTCGTCCACCTGGGGGCACTCCGACGATCAAGTTAGTTATCTCTCAAAGATATCAAAAGTGCTTAACTCACTATTTATAATACAAAAAGAATACCTTAGACCCATAAGGGTGCCTCTCTTTTATAGACAACACAAACCTAGTCCCAATAGAAGCATAGATTCAATGGACTTAGGATTACTACTAATCTTGGACTCCCAGTAGGATTGAGATAAACTCTCTAAGAATCTTATCTTTATCCAAACTGAAATCCTCTCTCATTTTAGGACTCTTGTTCCTTATTCACTTATCCCGGATTTCGGTTTCTTCGCAGATAACCTCGGCCTAGCCAAGATGATCTCGGCGTTATGATCAGGACACGCGGCACCTTAGCTGACACTTTGGTGACACCTCGGTCACGTGTTGTCATTCAAAAATTATGTCCCCACAATTGTCCCCTAGGTTCTATTATCTCGGCATCCTAAGGTGATGGAACCTATATCATTCCTTCCTTTAATCATGACATCAGTTTAACTTTAGCTTGTAAATTTTTCTTAAAATTTCAACAAGTGTTAAACATGACCTCGGTTTAACTTAAACTTGTAAATTTTTCTTAAAATTTCATCAAGTGTTTAACATGTCCTCCGTTTAACTTCAACTTGTAAATTTTTAAAATTTCAACAAGTGTTAAACATGACCTCGGTTTAACTTCAACTTGTAAATTTTTCTCAAAATTTCAACAAGTGTTAAACATGACCTCGGTTTAACTTCAACTTGTAAATTTTTAAAATTTCAACAAGTGTTAAACATGACCTGTGTTTAACTTCAACTTGTAAATTTTTCTTAAAATTTCAACAAGTGTTAAACATGAACTCGGTTTAACTTCAACTTGTAAATTTAAAATTCCAACAAGCGTCAAACATGATTTCGGTTTAACTTCAACTTGTAAATTTAAAATTTCAACAAGTGTTAAACCAACCTTAGCTTGTAAATTCCAACTCCAAAGTATCATTCTCCACCCCTATTTGATTCTCCATGCCCGACCTCTCATGAAGGCCGGTGAGAATGCCCCTTTGCCCTGTCGTGCTGAGGGATTGCAAGAACCGTTTTCTGCCCCCCTTTCTGGGCACCTTTCTTGGCCGCTGGAATCGGCGTATCTTGTAGCGGGAACGGTGGCTGCATGACGTTGTTCTGCATCAGGAAATTGACGACCATTTGCAGGTCTGCCAATTTGTTCGCCATTCCCTTCATCTCGTCATCCCTCCGCAGGCATCTATCTTTCTATACCTAGAGGTCGTCCTCGTTATAATACCCACTCTAGTTCGATTTCTTCGATACGCCGCCCTCCTGGCCGACGTTCTTTCCTCCGTGATTCTTATCACGAGTCTCTTCGTTGCAACTGTCTTCTTCGACGTCAAGGTCAATATGTTTTCCACTCTCAGTAGGGGTGTCGTCCCCAACCTTCTCTTTCTGTCCGTCGTTGGCCATCTATTCTCATTTCTTTTCCACAGATGGCGCCAAATTGTGTGTCAATTTCTGACCACACTACTAAATTAGTACTTAGTTGGAGAGCACTGACAGAATAGATTAAGCTTGAACGACCTGCAATAGAAAGAAGAGGTTCCGGTGGTAGTTCGTCCACCCGGGGGCACTTCGACGATCAAGTCAGTTATCTCTTAAAGATACCAAAAATGCTTAACTCACTATTCAGAATATAAATTGCGTACCTTAGACCCATTGGGAGCGCCTCTCTTTTATAGCCAACTCAATCCTAGTCCCAATAGAAGCCTAACTTCAATGGACTTTAGCTCAGTATTTATCTTGGACTCTCCAATAGATAAAGATAAACTCCCTAAGAGCTTTATCCTCATCCAGGCTAAGGTTCTTCCTCATTCTAGGACTCTTGTCCCTTATCCGCTTATCCCGAACTCTGATATATTCGGAGATAACCTCGGCCTATCCGAGATCACCTCGGCATCACGACCAGGACATGTGGCACCTCGGCTGACACGTCGGCTTCACTTTGGCCACGTGTTGGTATTCAGAAAATATAGCCCCACACAACCCTAACTTAGCCTAATAAACAATAAGCATTCAAGGTTCAAATTACTCCTTAATAGAAGTGATAAACTAAACTTGAAACCATAACACTAATTTAAAACTCCTTCAAATCAATCTAAAAGTATAAATGGATTGCAATTTGCATCTTACAAGCCCAATTAAACACGATTTTAAACACACACACACACACACACACACATATATATATACAACAATTGTCTACCACTGCTGCCACAACTCCGCCACCACCTTCCTTTGCCACCCAGCTCGCTCCACCACTGCCACTATGCCGACGAGGAAGACTAGCAAACGGTAATATCTCTACTTGACCACTACTTTGCTACAATTTCTTTCTCAGTACATACATGTTTTACTTGTATTGATATAATAGACATATCTAGGGGTGTGCATAATACCGCCGAAACCGCCAAAATCGCACCGAACCGCACCGTCAAGGTAAATTCGTAATTATTTGCCAATCGAACCGCCGGTTTTTGGTAAGAAAAATGGCAAATTCTAGTGACACTTTTATCAATCCGCCGGTTTCTATTTTTCTTCCAAACAGCACTGACTCGCACCGCTATTAAATCATGTTTTATAAGATTCTAAATTTTTTTTTTTACTTAAGTTTGCTTGTTGTTCTATACCTTAGAATATAATATTACATTACTGCTCGAGGGGAATTCAAGATGTCAGTAATCCAAAATAAAATTGGATTCCAATTTACTTTTTAATCTTTTTTTTTTTTTCTGGCCATATTGCAAACTTGCATCAGCTCACTATTCAATCTAAATACTTTTCAACAGTAAACATTTTCAATATATTATAAACCTTGAATGATATTAATTTTATGTATTGTATTTGATCATTGTAGCTTCCACAGATGCTTGTAATGAACTGATGACATAGTCGTTGATATTATCATGTTGTTGCTACACTTGCTGCATCAGAAGAAAGCTTCGCAAGATGCTTAACATCACGGTATCTCTCGTCTTTTTTTTACTCTTTGATTTAAGTTTTGTAATTTGAATTATATTTTTTATAAACTGCCAATCCGCCCGAACCGCCAAGGCAAATCTTCCATTATTTGCCAACCGAACCGCCGGTTTTTGATAAGAAAAATGGCAAATTCCAGTGACACTTTTATCAATCCGCCACCCGCCATACGATTTCTATTTTCCCCCTCAAACCGCACTGACCCGCACCGCGCACACCCCTAGACATATCTACTGGATTTGGATTTTTATGTTTTTTTTTTTTACAATTAATATTTTGATGCAATTTCATATCAGAACCGTCGACCGAGCCAACTGCGAATTTGACAAAAAACACAAGATCGAATCTGCATTTTTTTTTGTTTTATCAACAAAGAAAAAGAACTTTATTGATGAAATAGAAAACTATTACATCAATAAAAGAAAGAGGAGAATGAGTGTAAAAAATATCATAGCGAACCTAATCAATCGCAACTAGGTTGACACTAATAAAATCGCCCAATCATATACTAGCACCATCACGAGTTGGTGAGAAACCAACCCAAACACCAAAAACAACCTTATCCAATAAAAGCTATCCAAACTTGATACAGACCAACCAACCCAAAACTACCGAACAACAATAAAACAATGAAATAAACAGACCAAAGGCAGAACTGTTTTCTGAAGTGTTTGTAATTGTT